TCTGTCTGTCTGTAGGTAGGTTATAGAATTTTAAGTTCACTGAAAATAAGAAAATATACTGTACTAAAAAAATATTTTATATAAAATAAGTATTTTATGAAATATTTTGCAATCAAAAAAATTTCACAAAAAAAAAAATCAAAGCCACATGTCTAGTGAAGTTATGTTCCAAATTTGAAGTTGATATCACAAAAATTGTCAAAATCCTGTGAGATTTAGTTTAGGCGCTATAAAAAAGATGCAAACTTTATACATTTCTGTCACAATAATAATTATATCACAAAATATCACCAAATATGGCACCTTCAGACTCAGACCTTTCAAACAGTAAGTGTTTTGTCGAGATTAGAAACATTTTGATTATAAAATATTGTAGTAAATTTTGTAATATGACACTTGACACTGGGAGAGGAGCCCGCTAAAAGGATTTACAGTGACATTTCCATGATAATGTAATGTCTGATTTCAAAACCACTTTCACAGGATGAATTTTGAGTTTAAGCTTTCGAATGATCTCTAATTAAATATGTGATTTATGCTAAAGTAGGTGATGAGGGGAAAAGAGCACCAAGCATAGCAGGATGCTGACGGTTAACAGGTTAAGACTTATAAACAAATAATAGTCAACACCTACTTATTTTATTTATTTATTTAGTTTTTGTACAAACAGTCTGACTTCATTTTCAATTTAAAATCAAAATGCACATGAATAATTCACACACGGCCTGCAGGAATCAGGTCTCTTGGCTTTTGAGGACAGGTTTTTATGTCACTCTGAGCAACAATGCTGTAATACAGATATTAATCTGTGACGCTGATATTGCAGACGCTCTTGTGTTTTCCATGGAAAGTGTCGTGACGTGAATGAAAGCCATGATCCGAAATAAAGTAGAGCAGTCAGTGTATAAACTCCTGAGTTAACCAGATTACAGGCTCTGATGGGTCTTAGTGGAGATCTCTGACCTTGCAGTTTGATCTGAGTTTACTGTATTAACACAGATCTCCTTACCCACAATCCTCAGCTGAACCAAAGCAGAAGAGACGTGAGACGAACGCTGGCCAATGAGTTCAACCCTCACATCTCTCTTTATATGTTATGTTATGTTTGGGGTACATTGAAGAATCAGGTTTATACTTAATAAAAAGACTGATTATGGATAACAATCCAAAACAATTCAAATTTGCCCTAACAATCACCTCTCTGCAACTTCTGCTCAAATAATTAATGACTTTTTTGGACACAAAACTACATGACTTACAGCGATAATAATAGTAATGAGTAATAATAATAATCTTTATTAATAATAATAACTGAGGGTAAAAATAAACAGAATAAGAGTGATGGCATTAATGAATATTAATGATGAAGTTATTATAAATAATATAATACATTTATACGAGTCATTAAAGAGATAATTCACCCAAAAGTGAACATTCTATCATCATCTACTCTCCCTCATGTTGTTCCAAACCTGTACGAGTTTCTGTTTTCTGTCGAACACAAAAGAAGATATTTTGAAGAATGTTGGAAACCAAATAGTTGACGGCAGCCATTGACTTCCATAGTATTTTTTGCCATGCTATCGAAGTCAATGGCTACCATCAATTGTTTGGTTACCAACATTCTTCAAAATATCTTCTTTAATGTTGAACCGAAGAAAGAAACTCAATTTAAACCCTTTAAATGAGGATGATATTAATATACACAAGGATGATATTAACATGTAGTAGAACAGTAAACAATAAATGATAACAGATTGTCTTACGTCGTTAATGTCGAACGTCTTGAACATGGTCTTGACGTACTCGTTGGATGTTTCGGACAGATTCTTCAGGCCGAAGAACTTCTTGAACTCGTAGAAGGTGAGCTGACCGGAGGGACACTCGGTCATGAACTTGCGGTACCACTGATGGGAATGACAGGCGCTCAGCTCCTTCACTGACATGCCGGGCGAGTTTCCCATGATGCCGCTGCAGTGCCGGAGCTTCAGGAGAGACCGCTCACCGCTTCCCCGCGCAAACACACACTGAAACACGGGCTCGGCTCAGCGTGCAGGACAGGGCGAGGGTGAGGGTGTCCCGTCCAATTACCACTGACGTCACTCCCTGCTGTTCTTTTCCGCTCTGGAAAATACAGCGAATTACCTCCTGATTACAGGGAATCCTAAATACAGTGCGTCAGCACGCCCCACTGACCTGAGATCACGACCTCTGTCTGTCTGTCAAACAGGACAGCAGCCTGACGTCAGCGCAGGGTTAACATTCAGTTCTGATGCTCTAGAGAAAAAAAAAAGTTATTTTTAGTAACCATAAACTAACATTCTCCTATCTATCTATAATTTTATCTATCTATCTATCTATCTATCTATCGTTCTATATCTATCTATCTATCTATCTATCTATCATTCATTCTGCAT